TCCTCAGCACTCTTCTCCAGCACCATATCTCAAATGTGTTGATTTTCTGCCTATCTTCTTTTCTTGACTGTCCAGCTCCCACATCCATACATGTTAATAGGAAATACGATGGCTTGTATGATCCTGACTTTTGTGCTGAGTTGTATATATAGTTGTATATATCCTGACTTTTGTGCTGAGTTGTATTAGTTCAGAATATGGCAGCCAGAATAATATCAGGAACATCTAGGAGGGACCATATTACTCCGGTACTAAGGTCCCTCCACTGGCTGCCTATTAGTTTCCGGGCCCAGTACAAGGTGTTGGTTATCACCTTTAAAGCCCTAAATGGCTTGGGTCCAAACTATCTCAGGGACCGCCTTCTCCCTTATAATCCTCCCAGTGCACTCCGGTCCTCTGGGAGGAATCTGCTGCAGCCTCAAAGAACTAGGCTTTCGGATACCTCCCAGAGGACTTTCTCTGCTGTCGCCCCCAGATTATGGAATGACCTGCCAGACGAGATCCATCAATTGACATCTTTAAACAGGCTGTCAAGATGGATTTCTTCGGGAAGGCCTTCCCAGAATAATTAATCCTGGCCTCAGGAACCCCCTCCCCCAGAGAAGTTCTCAAGTCCCCCCTTGAAAATCTAATGAGAGCTACAGCTGCCATTTTATATTGTTGCACATTTATTGATGTGTTTTAATTGTTAATTTTTAAAAAAATAATAATTTGTAATTGGTTTAATAACTTTTTAAGGGGGGAGGGAATTTGATTGTGTTGTATTTTATATTGGATTTTTATTGCTGTTAGCTGCGCCGATTGATCTCAATGGGCCGGGATATAAATTATTATTATTATTATTATTATTATCATTATCTTTGCATTTTAGGATCTTTTCTAGTTCTTTGATATCTGCCTTCCCCATTCTTAATCTTCTGATTTCCTGGCTGCAGTCCCTGTTCTGTTCAATGTTTGATCCCAGATATGAGAACTCTTTTACTATTTCTATTTCCTCATTGTCTAGTTTGAATGTGTGCAAGTTCTCTGAGGTCATTATTTTTGTTTTCTTTATGTTCAACAATAAGCCTACCTTTGCATTTTTTCTTTGATCTTCCTTAGTAATTGTTAATAATAATAATAATAATAATAATAATAATAATAATAATAATAATAATAATAAGTTTTATTTTTAACCCGCCCCTCTGCTCAGCAATTGGGGTGGCGAACAAACAAATTAAAACAGTACAACAGATTAAAACATAAATCCATCAACCCAAAGTAGTTGTTCCAGGTCTGTGAGGTTCTCTAGTAGTATTATGGTGTAATCAACATATCTCATATTGTTGACATTTCTTCCTTCTGTTTTCACTCCTCCCTTTTCTGTGTCCAAGCCTGCTTTCTTTACAATATGTTCTGCATATAGGTTGAATAGGTAGGGTGATAGGATGCAGTGTTGTCTGACTCCTTTGCTAATTGGGAATCATTCTGTTTCTCTGTGTTCTGTTCTGACAGTCGCCTCTTGTCCTGAGTACAGATTCCTCATCAAGACTATCAGATGTGTTGGCACTCCCATGTCTTTAAGGGTGTTCCATAGCCTCTCATGATCTCTGCAGTCTTTGCTATAGTCTATAAAGCACATGCTGATTTTCTTAAGATTAAAAGTAGGAAAATGGAGGATAGACATCCTGTATAGCACATTTTCCCTTTCTCTTATGGCATCAAACTCACCTGATTCTGCACAATGCATTCTTAATTCAAAGCTCTTAAATCTTTGATTTAAACTAGGCTCTTAACTCAATGTATACTCCCACTTGAAGTAAAGAAAAGTGTCAGTTCCATAAACGGGTTTACAACATCATTGGCTGCCAGAATTAGGCCTCATTAGTTACTATCTGTCGTCCAAGCAGAAGATATGTTCAGCCTGGTGAAGAAAAGATTGAAGAGTAGTGTCTCCACAAGGGATATCACAGAGTGGTGGGGGCAGACATGTTCCTTGCTGCTCCCAAAGGGTTGAGGCAGGGCTACAGGAGGGTAGATTTCAGTTGAAAATTAGATGGAACTTCTTGCCAGTAATAATAAATAATAATAATAATTTTTATTTAATACCCCGCCCCTCTG